TTTATGAATTGCAAATCCCTTGGAGGAGGGAGGCAGAGAAGAGAATTAATCTTTAGCTTCAAAGGGACTAAAAAGGTCAGGAGTTAATCCTTCACCTCTGCTGAAGACTGCCTGTGGTCCCTGGGTCCTCCTGGCCTCAACCAGTCGAAGAAAACAAGTTAATCAGCTGCCGCTTCCTGGCCCAAGTGGCTCTGGGCCTCCACTTTCTCTTCTGTTAAATGGGAATAATCCTGTCTGCCTTGTGGGCTGTTGGGAGGACCAGATAAGATGAAGTATGCTCAATCAATGCCTTCTACCTCTGTCTTCCTCTGTGTTGGGTGACCTAGAATGTCCTATAACCTCGTGAGCCTCAGTTTCCTCATGACGAAGGGGAAGGATGATTTTACAGGCTGAGGCATTTCCGCACAGGGCTAGAGAATCCTGTGAAGAAGCAGAGAGAGGGGGCTGGGTGGTGAAGGAGGACTTCCTGTAGGAGGAGGGCTTCAGCTGGGGATGGGAGGATGGGCCGGGCAGCCCCTGGGACCTATGGTGGTTCTGGCCAGAGCCCTTGCTCTCGGCCCTGCAAGAGAGACCCCATCAAAACGGTAATAGTGGCAACTAATGTCTGCCGAGGGCAGATGGGGAACCAGGCTCGCTGCATCATGTCCAGTCCGCACACCCCTTTGGGGCAGGACTTGGGTGGACTGATAAAGGAGAAGTGTTCATTGGAACTGGATGCTGGTGGAGGCCTGTTGCCAGTCTGCCCAGCCATGGGCCCCATCCCTTCCAGCCCTAGGGCCGCCTAGGGTGCCTCCACTTCCTTGCTGGACTCTTGTAGATATGTCCAGTCTCTAGGGCGACCATATGTTTTGGGGTGCCTGGGGATGCCCTGGTTTATTCCTGTTGTCCCGGCATCCTCTCTAATCCAGCTCCTGAGCGCTCTCAGAAGGGTCCCACTTTGGATGATGATTGTGTGGCCACCCTAAAGCAGCTATAAGGGTCTCAAGTCAGACACCATGGCTCCAAGCTGGCTCAGGCCCTTCTAGCTGAGCCATGTGCCCCTGTGAGCTCAGAGTCCCTCTTTGCAGAGTGGGGATCACAGTGCCTACTCTGGAGAGTGGCGGGAGGTTGGGAGGCAGCATGTTGGCAGAGGCCCTGGTCCTAGTTAGTGCCCTGTGGTTGGTGGCCTTGGCCATGACATTGCTACTGGGCATGCTGGGGGTGGGGGCAGGGGTGTCCACGTGAAATCTGGAACACTGGGTCATTGTGGGCTTGTTTTGAGGGTCACTTGCCACTAAGAACTCACAAGAGAATGTGAAGGGAAACCTCCCTAAATATCACCTGTGGGGGCAAAGGTGGCAGAGGCCTCAGCCCCTTTTGCATTGTGGGTCCAGGAGAAGCCAGGTGGGCTGGGGAGCGGGAGAGACTTCTGTGACCCACAGAAGTGTCCTCCTTCTCTGGGGCAGGCTTGAGGTTTGAGTAGCCCCCTGGGCTTCGGGGGTGAGCGGCCTCCCAGCCTGTGCCACCCAGAGGGGCCTGGGTCTCCTCAGGTCACCCTACAGATGCCCCTCCTCTGCTCTTCCCAAACCCCTTCCCTTCAGGCCCCTTTCTCACACCGCTATTGCAGCCCCCAGAGCTTTGCCCCATGAGGTCTTTTCTCTCTCTGTCTGCCCTGCCCAGGGCCGCAGACTCTGATTCATCCCCGTTTTTCCTGCAGCCCAGCACCAGCCTGGAACCCTGCACCGGAAGAACACATCCTCCCCAACCAGGCCCTGTGGGAGCTGGTTCTCCGGGCGAAGCCGGCGGGAAAGGGCAAAGCCCGGGGGTTCCCGCCCAGGAGGCTGTGCTCCGGCTGTCTGGAAGCTGAATGGGAATAACCCTGCTGGACAGGGCGGGGAGGGCGAGCCTGCCTCCCTGGGGATCTGTCCTCTCCGGCTCCACAGTCCAAAGAGGGCCAGACACTTGTCCAAGACCCCATGGCAATTGGGGATAAGGCCAGGACTTCAACCCAGATGTGTCTCCCTAGGAGGCTTCACTCTGCCGTCATTCCGGCGAGGGCTGCAGAGGGTGGGGGTGGTGGCAGGCAGGCAGGCTGGAGTGGCTGGGTCTCTGCTGCCCCCTCAGTGGGTGGGAAGGACAGGTTCAAGGCTGGGAGCCCTGGTGGGAGGAGGCCTGCCCAGGCTTCTTTGAAGCTCACACTCATGGAACCCTGGGGCAGCGCCTGAGTCAGCCCAGGGCAGACATATTTAGCTCCTTTTATTGTCCCTAGTCAGTCCCTTTCTCCAGGTCTCTCACACCTGCCGCTTGACTGCTGGCTGCCCACCCCCATCCCTGTCTCCTGCTCCCTGGCACCCAGGTGCGGGGCCCCAGTGGCAGCTCTGGGTTACCCAGTGTGCTCCCCCTCCTCTGGCACTGGCTGGGCTCCCCTCTGCCTTCTCAGAGCCCCCTGTCCCCTGCCCCCTCCCTCCCTCCCTCCCGGGGCATCCTGTGCCAAGCTCGTTCTCCCCCATCCTGCCGTGGCTCCTGTCACAGGATCCCAGTCAGGGCTTCAGGACAAGGGGCACGGTGGCCTTGGAGAGTCAGGGGACTACAGCATTGTGCACACAGCTCATGTCTTGCCAGGACCCAGCCCTCCTCAAACTCGTATCCTCTTGGCCCACCAAGGCTGGTTTTCAGGGTCCAAAGGAGTCCAAGAAATACCTCGCCTTGTTAGGCATCGTGCCTGGCTTCCTCCTGGCCCCCCTGGCTGGAAGAGCTAGGCTTCCCTGTGCTCATCTGTAATGGGCTGCTCTTCCAGACCCTCCCCTCCCACCCCCGTGAATCCTCCCTCCTCCGGTGGCCCCGGCCTGGTTTGTATGCCCATGAGGGCACGCACACATTCTGCCTGTAACACCAACAGTAATAAACAACAGCACTTAACATAACCTTGAGTAGGTGCTCAACACAGTTCTATGTATTTTTTCATATATTTAACCATTCCCATTTTATAGATGGGCAATCTGAGGCTCATAGAGCTGAGAAAATTTGCTTGAGACGCAGGGTAGAGTTGGGCCCTGAACCCAGGCCATCTGGGTGGTTCTCAGGACGCCCCGTGGCCTTTCACACTTTTGTGGCACCTCCTCGTTTGCCATCCCCTCCCCCACACCTGTACCAGTCCATCCCCAGGCAAGGGCTGTGTGTACCCCTGTCTGTGATACCCTTGCACACGGAAGTCCTGTTAAAGGTTTGTATGATGGAGGTCGCCTGGCCCAACCTTCAGGGAGGAAGGTCACACCTAGAGAGGGTGAGCCACCATTTCAGGGCCACAGCCAGAAAGTGAGAGAGCTGGGTGTCCTGACCCCCAGGCTTAGCTCAGCGTGTGGGGAGGGAGGTCTGTGTTTACCTGTGGCTGGGGCTCATCCCTGCCAGGGGCAGGCGGTCTGGGCCCGGCTGGCTTCGGCGTGGGAACCTCTCATCCATGTGTGGTGGGAGCCCCCTGCCGTCCGGAGCGAGGAGTTGCAGCATGGTGCAAAAGTGGGCAGCAGCCGCCCAGGGGAGGAGCAAGGGGGCCGGCGCCAGCGAGTCAGAGGCCCCAAGTTCTGGATTGTGATGCGGCCCTGCCCTCCTCTCCTGCCACTCCCCGGGTCCCTAGCAGCACCGCCCCTTCCCACAGAGCCTGTGCCTCCAGACAGGTGCCCCTGCTGACGTTGACTTTTCCATCGACTTTGTTTAACCAACAATTGCATTGCATCTACTGTGTCCTAGGCACTGAGCAGGGACAACCTGGCCTTCTGGGAGTTCACAGTCAGTGTGTGTGTGTGTGTGTGTGTGTGTGTGTGTTGGGGAACAGACATGAGGTGAGCTCACTGCATTCTCAGGTATAGTCCTTTCCCCCACCTGGCTGCCAACACTCACGCACAGCTCCTCTGAGAAGCCTCCCCAGATCGCCCCTCAGCCCAGCCCGGCCTCCACTGGCCCCTGTGCCCCTTGACAGCGGCACGCATCGGCCTAGGCTGTCCCCGCTCTTTCCCACCTGTCCCCACCTGTTCTGAGCTCCTTTTGAAGACCAGGGCTTTGTCCTGATGGTCTCTGGATCCCCGGCTCTGCGTGAGCCTGGTACACAGTAGGCACTCAATATGCAGGGGCCGAATGAATGAATATATGAACGTGTTGATCAGTCCAGTGCCACCAGGTCTTCGAGAGTGACGCACGGTGGAATTCCAGACAGGGGCCGGGTTAGGGTGTGGGAGCCACCCGGTGCCCTGCACGACTGGGCAGGGCTGCCTGGCGTTAGAATTCACAGCCACTAGGACGTAAGCCCCGCGTGGGCAGGGACTGTCCTGTTCCTCCAGTGCCTGGAGCCGTGGCTGGAACACTGGAGGTATCTCATACCCATTGAGGGAAGTACAGGTCAGTGAAGGCTACTGAATTCAAGCTCTTCTAATGCCATACATGATCGCTGGAGCCAGCCTGTGCTTGCCTCCCTCCACAGACAGGGAGCTTATTACCTGTCTCCCGAGGCAGCAGCTCTTCCTTTTTAGACAGCACTGCCTGCTGGGAAGATCTTTTGCCTTTCCCCAGCCTTGGAAGAACCAGCTCACCCCCTCCCTGCTCTGGGGGAGCCCTGTGGCAGATGCAGCCCCCAGGGATGTCTGTCCAGTGGGCAGCCTCAAGTGTCCTGAGGATGAGGGCCCAGGGCCCTCTGACTGCCCACTTTTCCTGTCTGGCCCTCCTGCTTTCAGCTGGGAAGGTGACGAAGGTGAAGGGCCAGGGTGGGGTCGAAGATGGCAGATGTGGTCACAGAGGAAGACGACAGAGCCCCGCTCATGAGATGGATCATGGCTTTTTTTTTTTTTTTTTTTTTTTTTTTTTTATCCTCACCCGAGGATATTTTTCCATTTTTTGTACAGATAGAATGGGAGGGAAAGAGAGGAAGAGAGAGAGAGAAACATCGACGTGAAGGGACACATCGAGTGGCTGCCACCCGCACGACCAACCAGGGCCGGGGACAAACTGCAACCGAAGTACGTGCCCTTAGCGGGAACCGAACCCGGGTCTCTCCAGACCGCAGGCCAACGCTCTAACCGTTGAGCCAAACTGGCCAGGGCTGGATCATGGCTTTTATTCTCTCTTCTGCGTGGTTCGTGCTACTCATGCCCAGAGAATCACTGATTCCTCCTCAGTGACGGGGGAGGAGCTGAGGGCAGAGAGAGGACGGAGTGCACTGAGATCACCCGGCCAGCACATGGCAATGGCAGGAGAGGACCTCAGACCCCGTGACCCCCAGACCAGCGTTGCTCCCATGAGCCCTGGCGCCCCTGCATGGTGGGCTCAGCTCCCAGGTGACATGATGTCTTTGGAGGTCCTGAAATGTCCTGCAAGGCCTCCTGCAGCTGCCCAGCCCAGCCCCTCGGTGCAGTCTCATGACCAGGCACCTTGGCGCCCAAGCAGCTGCTCCATCGTGATGCTGCAGACTGTATGCACGTGGGCGTGGGGGTGGAGGCAGGAGAGGTGGCCTCCCCTCCCCTGGGGAACCCCCTAGCTCCTGCTCGCCCACTCAGGCTGGCACTGGGGCAGAGGCAACCCCATATCCTGCTTTCCTGCAGGGAACTTCCCTCCAGGGGCTCCCCCAGGACCCGAATGAGGGGGTGAGAAGTACCTCCGAGAAGCCTTTTCGAGGGACCCTCTTCCAGGCTAGGGCCTCCCGGAGACAGTGTTCTGGGAGTCAGCTCAGCTCTCAGAGGTGCTGCTACAGAGGGTCTCAGGATGCGGGGACCCGCCTGGGTTGCCCTCACCACCAGGGGTACCCGCTCAGTGGGCTCGCAGGGAAGCCTTGGCTGAGACTCTGCCATGACTCTGTGTCACTCATTGACTTGGCTGCTGCCTCCAGGCAGCCCTCCTGGTAACCACACCTATAAAGCTCCCTCTTCTTGGCTTCTTGGTTGTATCACCAGTCCTGACTGAGTACGTTCGTCTGGGATGTTCTGCACCATTTTCTTGAGGAATCCCTCCCCTGAAATGATGATCCTGAGGGTGGAGCCCTCAGCTCCCCAGCAGTTTTCAGTTCAGAGTCCCCTCCAGCTTAGTAAACAAGTGCAGCCGTCTCCAGCGGGAAGCTCCTCAGGGAGACTGGTGCAATCCTGTCCTGCCTGGAGGAAGCAGTTTGAGAGGCGGGAGCAGCCAGCTCACTGATTGCTGGGGCTTGCAGTGGAGCTGTGGCTCCCCTTATCGGCTGGAATGGCGGGGGGCACACAGCCAGAGGGGCGAAGACGTTCCTACCCAAACCTCAAAGTTTTCCAAGCACCACAGGAGGAGTGAGACTTGGGAAGAAGGCACACGGTGCCTCGGGGATGGAGCTTAGGAACCGCACGGCCTCTCCTACCGTGAGGACCGACGGCATTTCAGTCACAGAGGAGGAAGCTGAGGCCCAGAGAGAGAGGACGCGGACGCGTTCTGGGGCTGGTTTCTCTTCGCCTGCTTTCTCCGGGCCTTTCCTGGCAGCAGCTGGGCGCCGAGGGGCCTCACTGCCGGCTCGGGGCCCTCACCCACGCTCCTGAGCGTCGCCTCCCCACTCGTCAGGCTGAGTGGGGGAGGGGAGGATGCCTCCAGGCCCCAGCAGCACCTCCCGGGAGCCTACTGCTTGCTGGCGATCTTCTTCTTCCGAGCAGAGACCAGGTCGTAGAAGGGGACGCGGGTGATGCTGGCTCTGCAAGGAGACGGGCGGCAAGGCTTCAGGGCTGAGCTGGCCAGCAAGGGGTTCTCATCTCCCGGGCTTGTTAGAGGGGCGTAGGTTTCCCAGGGAGCGGCTGGCCTGCCCCCCTGCAGGGAAAAGGTCGGATGGCCCCGATCAGGACCAGGCCAGCGTGAGTCCAGCTTCCCGGCCTAACCGAGTCCCACGGGCAGGGCCAGAGCCAGAGACTGAGAACCGGAAGCCTTGGCAGTTCTGCCCCTAAATGTCCCTGGACCCCCCTTCAGGCTCCCATCAGACCCTCGGAAGGAGGGGGAAAGAGCCCGGACGGCCCAGTTCTGTCCAGTCCTGGCTGTGTGACCCTGGGCAAGTCCCTCCCCTCTCTGGGCCTCAGTTCCTCATCTGCAGAATGGGGGTGGAGTGGATGTGACTGGCAGCCTGATAGAGCTGCTGCAAAGCTTGAAGGAAAAGACCCTTCGAGTCTCCGGGACACGGCCCAGGTCCAGAGACTAGTCCTGTCTTTCTCTGTTCCTATGTCTCCTCTGGCCTACAGGACACCTGCATCTCCCCACCGGCTCCGCGTCAAGGCTGGTATCCTGCCTTTCTCACTTGGCCACACCCCTTCGCCATTTACCACTCTGTGGCTCCCCAGTGCCCTAGAGAAATCCAGGCTTGTTGCCATGGCAGCCACGGCCTTGCCATCCTCTGCAGCCTCCTCTCCCACTGCTCAGCCCGCACAGTGCTCTGTCCCTGCAGTCAGGCCCCTGCACTGCCTGGCAGTGCCCGGCCCACACTGCCTGGTACAGCCACCCAGGGCGCTGGGTGCCATCCAGGACGGCCACACATGACTTCGCCCGCACTGACCCTTCCACCTGGAAAACCCTTCCCTCCATCTCCACCAGCTCTTCCCAGGGCCACTTTGGATCCTGACGCTAAGTCCAGTGCCATTCCTGAGCACCTGCCCAGTGTCAGGTGCTGGGCGGAGAGCGTTCGTGCGACAACCACCTGCTCCTCCCATCAGCCCTGTGAGGTCGGTGCCTCACTCCCCTGTGTCCTGGGGCCTGGCATTTGCTGGCACAGAGGAGGTGCTCACAGGCCGGGGAGGGGGGTGGCATGCCAGAGACAAGAGGGAGATGCTGGAGTTGTCCTCCTTTGCAGACAAGGAAACAAGGCCTGAGAGAAGCAGGGGCTTCTGGGAAGTGACAGGAGGCCCGTCGCTTGCCGCTGGCCAGCCCTTACCGTATGGCCTCGATCCACTGGTCCCGCTCCTGGGCGCTGGAGGCCGAGATCCGGTAAGACTGGTGCTTGCCCTCCACCACCTTGCCGTCGCCATCGGTCTTGCAGGCTTTTATCTTCTGGCCCCGGCAACTGGGGTTGTAGAGCTCCAGGCAGAACTGGGGGACGCAGCCAGGGCAGGGCAGGGCAGGGGTGAGAGGCAGGGAGGCCCGGCCAGCCTCGGACCCACACCCCGCCCCAGGCCTGCTTCCTGTGAGAGGGAGGGGCAGGCAGGGAGCCCACCGCCCAGGAGATGGAGGCAGCCGAGCCCCCTGGCAGGTGTGCTGGGCCTGGCCTCGCCTCCTGGAGAGCCCAGCCCCGCTGCCCTCTCCTCCAGCCCTGTTTCAGAAGTGCCGCAGCCGGTCCAGCCTCCCAGGTCCCCGCTCTGACACCTACTGGCTTCTTGGGGTCGTCCACCTTCTGCACTGAGAGGTTCTCAAGGGGTATGATTCCCCGCGGCTCCTTGTCCTGCAGGCGAAGGGGAAGGGGTGTCAGGCTCAGCCCCTGGAGCCTGAGGCTGTGGACAGGGAGGGAGCTGACCAGGCCCCCTAAACCCAAGAGGAGTACCCCTATCTTCCCACACTCTGTCCAGCCTGGAGGGGTAGGGGGGCAGCCCAGAAAGAGCCCTGGCTGAGAGTCAGGAGACCCAACTGAATCCCTCGGCCCTTGGCCCAGTCCCACCTCCTCTTTGTAGCTCAGTTTCCCCGGTAAAATGGGTGTGGAGGTGGACTGTGTGGTCACAGTGGGGCCCCAGCTCTGTGAGGCAAGTTTAGCGGAGTGCAGAAGGGGGAGGGGCAGGGAGGCTCCCGTGCAGAAGGGGGAGGGGCAGGGAGGCTCCCCGTGCAGAAGGGGGAGGGGCAGGGAGGCTCCCGTGCAGAAGGGGGAGGGGCAGGCAGGCTCACCGTGGTGAATTCGAAGTAGTAGAGGCAGCTGTCGGTGAGGATGAACCAGCGCCGCTTCCACGTCTTCACGCGGCCTCCTGCAGGTGCCACAGCAGAGTCAGCCCTCCTGGGGCACCGACACTCCCTCCGCGAAAGGGCTGCCGTTGGATGCTTCCCCCACCCGACCCCCTACCTCCTAGCCTGCCGCACTTCCCCCAGATCTCGTGCCTCCCAGATCTGCCGCCCCCAGGCTTCCCGTGAACGCCTGAGGGCTCCTCCAGGCGCAAGCCCCAGGCATGGCTGGTCACTCCCTGGGCTTCCCTGCTGTCCCTGCCCCCAGTCCATCCCCTTGGCCTGCTCCCTGCCTGGCACGGGCCAAACACTTCATCTTTCATTTGCCAGGCAACGTTCTAGAGCGTTACACAAATATTCACTTGTTCATCTCCAGAACCACCTGTGAGGGGGAATCATTATCAACCCATTTTATGGATGAGGGGACAAGTCATCTGCTCCAGATCCTGCAGCGGAGCTGAGACTCGAACCCCGGTAACCTAGCTCCAGAGGCAAGTGCTTGGCTGTTTTGCTTCACATCCAGCCTTCCCAGGGGTTATTTGTTCTCCCCATTCCACAGCTGTGGAAGCTGAGGCCGAGCACCCGGACCATCAGCACACGGCAGAGGAGCCTCCCTGCGGCTGAGAATAGTCGGTTGGGCAAGAAAGGAGGCCGCGTGGGCTGTGGACAATCAGGCTGGGTGTGGGCAAGGGGAGATGCAGGGCTTGCACGGGCCCCCCAGGCCCAGGCTCCTGCTCCACCACGAGGTGCTGTCCTCACCTGCCTCAAAAGGCCACTGGGCCTGGGTAAGTGTCCCTGCTGGGAGGCGTCCGGAGTGTGAGTGGGGGAGGGGCAGGCGGCTGGGGTTCCCCTCCCAGACTCTGCTGCTGCTACTCCAGCACCGCAGCACCCACTCGCAGCTCCCACCCACAGCTCCTCTCTGCAGGCCCGAGGCCCTCCCTGACCCTGAGCCACATCCTGTCGCCCCCCACCCCCATCCTTCAGGGACACCCAGCCCTCTGCCCACCAAAGTCTTCCATTTGCTGGTTGTGTGGTCTCGGGCAAGTGCCCTGACTTCACTGAACCTGAGCTTCCTCAGCAGCCTCCGGGAAGAGACAGGACTGCGGTTCAAGGGTTTGTCTGTGGCCTGTCAGCATCCGCCCCCCCTTCCTGCTTGCCTGCCCCCCCCCCCATTCCCAGGACAGACAGACAGACAGATGGAGAGATGGGGCAAGCAGAGCTGCACTGGGAGTCAGGAGATCTGGGACTGGCTCAACTCCACCCTGGGCTACATGTCAACTTGTGTGTGTGTCTGTCTGCTGTGTGCCCGAGGGTGCAGGCATGTCGATGTGTGTGCTCGAGTGTGCCTGAGTGTGTCAGCGGTGTGCCTGTGTCCCAGCCGAGTGTGCTCGAGTGTGCTAGCTGAGCGCCCCAGTGTCCTAGCCGAGTGTGCACGAGTGTGCTAGCTGAGCGCCCCAGTGTGCCAGCCGAGTGTGCACAAGTGTGTGCCTGAGTGTGTCAGCGGTGTGCTCCAGTGTGCCTGAGTGTGCATGCATCTCACCCAGCTTGAGCAGCCAGCCCTCGCGGTCAGGGTTGAAGAAGGTGTGCGTGAGGTCATTGCCGTCGTCCTCAGGAATGGAGAAGGGCTCACTCTTGATGCTGTCGAAGAGGTTCTGCCCCGAGAGAAGGGAGGGAAAGGCCTGGCTGTAATGTCCATCCGGGTCTGGGGCCCGGGCCTGGCCTGGCCTGACCTGACCAAAGGGCCTTGCGCCGGTCACTGGACCTTAGGGCAAACTTTCCTCTCCTGTTAGCTCATCATTGGCCCCTGGCCTTCCTGGCGAAACTCCCTGGTTCCCCCAGGCCCCCTGGTGCTCTCCTGCCCCCACCCCAGGGCTGCCCCCTGTGCAGAGCCAGCACCCCGGAGACACTGTGGACGGCCTCGTGCGTGGTCCCGGTACAAACTATTTCAGTCTGTTTGCTCGCTGGCGCTGACCTTCCCTAATGGAGGGGCTCCCTGAGGCCCAGCCTGGGTGTCACAGCTCCCGGCTCCCCCAGGCCCAGCCTGGGTGTCACAGCTCCCGGCTCCCCCAGGCCCAGCCTGGGTGTCACAGCTCCCGGCTCCCCGAGGCCCAGCCTGGGTGTCACAGCTCCCGGCTCCCCCAGACCCAGCCTGGGTGTCACATCTCCAGGCTCCCCCAGGGCCCAGCCTAAAGCAGGTTGGCAACTGGTTGCTGACTGAATGGATGCTGCCCCCTCCCCGACCCCGGGCCTGGCATTCTAGCCAGTGGCATGAAAGCCCATGGCGGGCCCACGGCGGGACAACAGTGCTGGTTTGACAGCACGCCATCTGGGTTAAAATCCCAGCCTGGTCTCTCAGTGCTGTGTGACCCTGGGCATGTCCCTCAACCTCTCTGAGCTGCTGTGTCCTTATCTGATAAATGGAGAGAACAAAGCTGACACCAGGGTTCTGGGGGGGTAGCAAATAGACTCCACAGGGGTCAGGGCCCCCCTCTCCAAGTCAAGGGAAGGTGATGAGGAGGGAGGAATACAGCCTCTGCCTGCACTCTGACCAGATGCTGCTCTTGTGGGTCAGATGTGCGAGTCAAAGACTGTCACCCTGTGTCCGAGGATGTTGGAGACAAGGACACTTGGCTGGGAGCAGTATACCCACACATACATTCTTCTGTGTATCATGTGTGTGCATACATGCACACATAGAAACACAGTCTGGGGCACAGCAGCAGAGGTCAGGGCCTCCCTGGGCCACACCCTCTGCTTAGGTGCAGTAGCAGAGACTGTCAGGTGCACCGCGGGTTGGGGACACAGAGGAGCCACCGGGGAATGGGGACTGGTCCAGCTGAAGGAGACACTCAGGGTGAAATGCTGACCTAGGCTCTCAAAGGCACAGACCTGTTCTGGGTGGGCTCCGATCGTGGGTGTGGGGAGTTCCCAGAAAGTAGATTTCATTTCTCCATGGAGGACATTCTAGCAGTTAGAGCTGCTGAAACATGGAAGGAGCAGCCTTGCAGGGGAATGAGTGCCTTGTCTCTAGAGGTATGCAAGCCAGGGCCGAGACCTCCCTTTGGGCGAGTTGTGGACGTTGGCGGTGGGTGATCCCCGTGTGTTAGGAACCCTCTGGGCACGTCGTCTCATGAGTAACCTGCTCAGACTGCCGAGCGTTTGGGAAAACACTCCAAGCTGTCTATTTCTGCTGATTAAAACCAGACACAGCACTGGTTCTCCAGCTCTCGGGCAATTAAGTCATTTCCTTCGGCTGATTTGTGTGCGCTGCTGTTCACATGGCTTCCCAAATTTTAAATGAAAACACTCACAAGTCCTGTTTGATTCCTTCCAAGTTTTAGAAACGGGGTTTGCTTATGAACGGTCTTTTCTGACCTGAGAGCTAGGGGGTGGGGAGGTGTGTTCCTGGGCTTGACACCAGCGTGTTCCTACTTCGGACTGGAGGGTCCCTGGGCTCAGCCTGGCTGTGGCGGTGGGCGTGGGGGAGAGCAGGGACCACTGCCCTCTCTGGAGCCCCTGCACCCCTAGAGCAGCCGGGAAGCCCTGCTGCACCTCCCTGCCCGGCCCTGGGAATTCCCAAGTGCGCAGGCTGGTTAAACAGGGCCTTTGGCAGGAAGGCCTGTCAGCAAAGCTGTCAGAGAAGGACCAGCGTTTGGGAGACTGGAGGAGGTGGGCAGGGGAGCCTCCCGACACCCTCTGGGGCTCTGGCAGCTTCTGCAGGCACCTTATCAGTCTGCACATTCTGCCCCCACAAGGAAGACAGTCAGCTCACCCACACTTCCTGTACCTTGAAAGCACCAGCCTCCCCCCCCCCCCCCCCCCCCCCCCCGCCCAAAGAAAACACCCCTGCTCCTGTCGCCACCAAACCACTGGGCCAGGCTGTCTTCTGCTCCGTGGACACAATCAGACTGACACTGGCCACCGCTGGTGGTTCTGCTGGCCTTGCGTCCGTCCCTTTCCATCCCCTCAGTTCTCCTCTGGGGACTCAGCCCCCCACCCCAAACACACTCTGTCCAGATTGCTCAGGGAGGTTGACACCCACTGCCCCCACCCCCAGGCTCCAGGGTGGGGTGAGAACGATTCCCTTTGGCTAATGAGAGCATTTCATCCTGCCAGTCACAGTGACTGGTTCAGGGAGGGTCACAGTGACTGGTTATGGGCTGACCTAAGCCAGCCCATAAGCCCGAATTCTGGGACTTTAGTTCAAACTGCTAAACAAAATGCAAGCCTGGAGCTGCCCCGGCCGGCCCTGCCACAATCCAGGAGTCCTGACCTCACTGAGCACCTGGATCTAGCCAAGCCTGAAGCTGGCCTATCTGAAGAAAGTCAATCCCTGATCTTTCCTGTTGATTCCTCTAGCTGGGATGCAACGGTCAGCAGGGACACATAGCCAAGTCCTCTGTCCCTAAGTTATGCCTCTGGTCTCTGCAGAGGGAAGGGCCCTGGGGTCAGACGGACATGGGTTTGAATCTGAGCTGCTCACAAACTATGAAACCCCTCCCTAACCAGCTGCCCTCTGGGAGCGCGGTTTCCTTCACTGTAAACTGGGGGGTGGTACCTGCCACCTGAGGTTGTCGGGAGGACTAATGAGAACACAAAGTCCCTAGAACTGGGCTCGGACATGGTCAGTTCGGATGGAGTCTTTGGACTCCACTGCAGAAGATGCCTGGAACTGGGACACTGTTCCCCTGCCTGGACCTCAGTTTCTCCGCCTGTAGCCCTCCTCCTTCTCCTCCTCCACCGTCGATCCCTCTCTGGGCAGCTCTCTCGAGGTAAGTGAGTCCTCATTATTTCTCCAGCACTTTCCAAGAGCCAGGGACTTGAAGAGCATTATCTCTGCCTCTTAGAGAATGACGTGAGGTCAGTGTCATCAGCCCACTTTGTAGATGAAGAAACTGAGGCTCAGACTCAAGATCACACAGCCATAAAGGCAGCGCTGGGATGTGCTCTTCCATCCTCAGTCCACACCCTGTGTCTTGGCCCTGAGTCTCTGAGGCACCGTGACCTGTCCCATCACGAGGGCCAGAGGGAGACCTGCTCGTCCCACTGTCCCTCAGCCCCACCGGGCCCCTCTCCCAGCTGCACACTTCGTGTCCACAGCCCTCGGGGTGCCCTCTCCCTAGGTGAGGTCTCTGCATCAGTTAATTTCATAAATCAGGCTCTTAGCAGCATCCTGCGTCCTCGGCAGGGCCCAGGCTGGAACAGCTATGAGGGACCCTTCCGCCAAGTGGCCAACTTTGAATATCTGAAGGTGCTTAAAGCCGAGTCCTTGCTTTACAGATGGGGAAGACCAGGCCAGAGAGAAGGTGAGAAGGTGCCTCCCTCCCCGACAATCCACAGCAGCTACCTGTGGAAACCTGACCCAGGCCTGGGGTTCTCTGTGCCCTGGGAAGCCTCTAGATTAATTAGCCCCTCCAACTATACCAGGCACTTTGCTAAATACCCAACCTTCCTTCCTTCCTCCCTCCCTCCCTCCCTCCCTCTCTTATCCTCACCCGAGGACATTTTTGCATTTATCTTCAGATAGAGTGGGAGGGAGAGAGGGGGGAAGAGAGAGAGAGAGAAACATCAATGTGAGAGAGACACATTGACTGGCTGCCACCCACATGACCCCAACCAGGGCCGGGGACAAACTGCAGCCGAAGTATGTGCCCTTAGCGGGACCGAACCTGGGACTGTGGTCCGTGGGCCAATGCTCTAACCGCTGAGCCAAACTGGCCAGGACCACATACCGAATCTTTCTACATTGATCCTATGAGCTGGGAGCCAGCTTAAGTACTGTCAGAGCTCAGAGAGGTCAAGCCACTGACCTAATGTCACACAACCAGAAACTGGGGGACCAGGACTTGGACGTGGCTTGGCCTCTCTGTTCTCCATGCTTTTCCCTGCTGGGTCCCTGCCTCTCCTGGCTGCCCAGGAGGATAATAAGCCCTTCCTGACCCCCCAGGCAGAGTTTGAAGCTAAATTGAGATAATAGACCAGAAAGCCCTCTGAGCAGAAAGTTACAAGCTCTATACAAATGCAAGGCATTGTTATCAACAAAAGGCTTAATGGAGAAAAACATCCAAGGAGGGAGATACTGAAAAAGGCTCACTGGGGGCTGGAGCTATAATGTGGCACCTGGGAGATCTGGCAGGACTGGTGGCGGCTCTTCATTAACTCATTAACTGCCAGGCGAGGTGCGCCAGCGTGTTACCACCAGTCCACCGAGATGTGTCAGCCCTTTGCAAGTGCCCTTCCTGTTTCAGGCGTCTTGCTAAGTGACGGGGTGTTAAAATTATTTTTATTATTCTTAATTGTGGCATATGCCACCATTTAGAGCCTGTGCTATGTCCCTGGCATGGGCTGTGCCCTTTACATGTAAAACAGTCACTACTCGAGCAGCTGTGACGCAGGCCTCATTACCCTTTCTCCTGTGTGAACGGTTGGGCAGGGTGAGTCATTACCCAAGGTCGGTCGGGGAAGGTGAGATTTGACGGGAGCTTCCCACCATGATACATTTTCTCTTCTGGGACCAAGGAGGGGGTGGGCTAAGGGCCCTTCTCAAACAAGGACAGGCACCAGAATCATTCCAGACCCAGGCTCCCCCAGACTTCTGCAGGAGGTGCCCAGCTGGGTGCGGAGTTCACACTCTCTCCCTGTTTCCTGGGGAGGACCGAAGCTCTACTGAGCTCTGGGCATCTCCAGTCCTAGAAACGACTGTCAATTCATTTTTGGCGAGCCAGGCTCTGAATCTCACTCCAGTGCTTCCAAAGCTGCTCCTGGCTCCCTGTCGCCATCAAAAGCAGGCACACTCCTGAGGCTGTCATTCAAAGCCCTGGACACTCCGGCTCCACCGTGCCATCCGTCACGGTCCATACGCATGCTAACCCCAGCCTGCTACTCTCGACTCCCCTCCCTTTCCCAACCAGGCCTGCCTGGGTTCTGGCCACTTCCTCTTTCTGAAGTGTCTTTTCCCTACTTCTCTGGGGGAACTCCTATTCAACCTTCAAAGCCCCGTTCAAAAGTCACCTCCTCTGTGGAGTCTTCTAGTATGACACCTTTCCCCTGCCCCCAGGAGAGTGATGTAGTGTCCTCATGTCTGCATGGTTGTGTTCCCATGGTTAGCACAGCATGAATCACCCACGGCTGTAATTCACACGTGGATCATCTTCCCACCAGACCCTGCGGTTGGTCTGGGCAGGGCCTGTGGGTGATTCATCCCTGGATGCCCTGTGCTCAGCACAGGGCCTGGTGCAGTGTGGCGGGGGGGGGGGGGGGGGGGGGGGGGGAGGGAGGGCACTGTTTGGTGAGGAGACAGGAGGCCTGGGTTCTGCTCAGCTGCAGCTGACATGCAACCTGTGGAGACCTCAGTTTCCTCCCTTCTGAAGGGGGAGGAGTCTGGGCACAGAGCTCTGACACACTGAGCATCTACGAATCTGGGATTCTAAGAAACAGACGCGGGCTGCGTGAGGCACCCTTTCTGGAACTTGTGAGTGATGGGTGCCCGAGTCCCTCAAAGCTGGAAGTCTGGCAGAACCTCCTGGGTGCTCTATCTCTGGACCTCCTTCCTAAGATAGGGGCCACTGGTGCAGGCCCATCTCAGGAGCAACCTCAGAGGAGCCCCCCTTGGGGATCCATCTAAGACAGGTCCCTCCCAGATGCCCACGGACTGGGCTGGGTGAGGCCATGCCCCTTACCCGTAGTTGTTCCTCCGGCAGGTCACTGCCGTCATTGATGCCCCGGTTCATGGACACAAAGCGCTCAAAGGGCGGCTTGTCGCGGACGTTGGGGTTGTGGAGGCTGGTGTTGAGCATGATGATGGAGAAGGACAGGACATAGCAGGTGTCTGCGGGTTGGGACAGTGGGTCAGAGTCCTGGCCCTGGTTGCTCTCCCCTGCTCTGTCCCAACCCCTTCTAGGGATCAAGGATCAGCATCTGAAGGGCCCAAAGGTCCACCTTCCCCTCCTGGCTGGGCATCTGAGGCCTGGCCTTACCCTCCACTCCCTACTGGACTCCCTGCTCCAAAGAGATTCCAGCTGCCACATCCATGAGCCCTCCGTGCCCGCCCACCCCTGTGCTGCTGCTCCTGGGCCCCCTGCCAGACATACCCTCCCCTTCCCGGTTCCACTCATTCAAACCCTTCTCTTTCAGCTCCAGCCCTCCTCCCCGCCGAGCCCTTCCAGCCGCTGCCCACTCTGTTCTCTGCTTCGTGCATCTCGGAGAACACGTATTGTTGGCACCACTGTTCAGGGCTCAGTCACGTGCTGCGGGTGATCTGGCTGGCACGGCGGGGCTTCTGGGGCCAGCGCTCCTGATCTCTGTGCAGGCGGCCGGGCGGGCACTCGGGAGGGAGGTGACTGCGGCTCTGTGGTGTGTCCAGAGCAGGGAAGTCCAGCTATGTCCCCACCTCTCTGGTTGACGTTGGGGAAGTCCCTGCCCTCTCTGAGCCTCTGCTTCCCCATCTGTGGCATTCGGAGGTGTAACTCCGAAGTAGCTGCGTGTTCTGGACACTGGTGATTCTCTCTCTGATGACAGTGGCTCCTTATGTAGTTGGTGCTTGCCCTGCGCTGAACTCTCCCGTCCCCATGACCACCCCACGAGGCAGGTGTTGTCACTGCCCACATTGTACAGATGAGGAAACTGAGGTCAAGTTCCATGCCCAAGGTTACAGACTTAAGAAATGCTTGGACTGTGATTCAAATCTTTACAATGTTTTCCTTCCTAAAATCTTTATTGAGTACCTACTAAGTGCTGTGGGCAGGGGTTCCCTGGTGCATAACCCGGATACGGTCCTACCCTCCTGAGGCATTTAGACCCGCGGAGCTGGCAGATGCTAAAACAACCAAACACTAAACTCCTGCAGAACTACCAGCCAGGTTCGAGGTCTGCAGGACTGGTCCATGGGCACAGCCTAGGAGTGGGGTGTCAGTAGCCAGGTCGCTTTCCCTCTCAGCCTGTACTGTGTGCAGGGACAGGAATACCGCAGACCTCCTGGGCGGCCTGTGAGGATTGCACGGCTTCGTATGGGTAAGCACTGAGCATGTGGGGAGTGCTCTATAAACAATTGGTTATTGTTTAATGGTGACTTCAGATTCTGAGAAGAAGCCAGGACAAGTCCACGAAGAGATCTTCTCATCTACCCTGTGGGGGAGTGTGGGAAACTGACCTTCATTAATATCCTTCTATGCTCCGTTGCCCACTATGTCCTGCCCAGGCTGTTTTATGCTTCTGGGCCTTTGCTTGAACTAGAATTCCTGCCCCAAAAGCCCTTTCTCCCCTTGACCTCCTGGAGAACTCTTATTCATCCTTCAAAACCCCATTCAGACCCCATACCTCTGGGAAGCCATCTGGGACATGCTGAGTCGCCATCTCTGCCCTCAGACAGGTGTGCTGCTGCCCTAACACCTTGTGCCATCATTTCCTGCTTCCTCTCCCAAGGAGCATGCTCCGAGGCAGCTCTGCCCAACATGTACTCAACAGAGGGCCCGGCACAGAGTGGGCGCACAGTGAGGGCTTGGAGTGATCTGGGCTCCCAGGTCTGGGTACTTGCGGGAAACCAGAGGGGTGGGTTAACCATTCTGCTTTGAGAGGCAGATGTACGCCTGGCAAAGCTGAAGGGGTTCTGGAGCCCCAGGTCCCGCCCCGCACTGGCACCTGTGGACTGGAAGACACCTGGGTTGCAGAGGCAGTATCGAGCGGCAAAGGTCTCCATCATCCGGTCAATCTTCTGGGCCTCGCCCGGCAGCCGGAAGCTCCACAGGAACTGCCTGGGGGAGGAACAGGGCAGCAGGGTGGGTGGGGCTCTCAAGGGGACCTGGACAAGCCCCTCTGCCTCTCCCAGGCTTAGTCTCTATCCTGTAAATGGGCAAACCTGAACCTGTTGTCTATGCCCTAGTGAGGTTTGTACTGGGGAGCACCTGGCGCGCGGGGGTCTTGTACTGGGGAGCACCTGGCATGCGGGGGTCCTGTACTGGGGAGCACCAGGCACGCGGGGGTCTGTACTGGTGGGCACCTGGCGCGCGGTGCGGGCAGGGGGTCTGTACTGGTGAGCACCAGGCACGCGGGGGTCCTGTACTGGGGAGCACCAGGCACGCGGGGGTCCTGTACTGGGGAGCACCAGGCACGCGGGGGTCCTGTACTGGGGAGCACCAGGCACGCGGGGGTCTGTACTGGTGGGCACCTGGCGCGCGGTGGGGGGAGGGGGTCTGTACTGGGGAGCACCAGGCACGCGGGGGTCTGTACTGGTGAGCACCTGGCGCGCGGTGGGGGCAGGGTATCTGTACTGGTGAGTACCAGGCACGTGGTGGTGGGGGGGCTCTGTACTGGTGAGCACCTGGTGCACGGGGTCTGTGCTGGTGAGTACCAGGCAGGCAGGGGGTTTCCAAGAAAGGTTTTTTGTTTCGTTTTCAGAATGCAGAACTGAGTTGGTGCTGCCCTCTGTCCGTCTGAGTCCTAACACCTTTTGTGCCTGGTACCCCTCAGCCAACGAGGGAGCCTCTGCCGCTGGATTCCGCAGCTCCGCCTGCCTGGCCCTCAGGCCCTCTGATCTGACCGTGGGACCCTGAGCCATGCCCTCCCCTGGCCGGATGCCCCTTCCTGGAACCTAAGCTTCCAGCTCTGGAGGTCAGTGATTTTCACAACTTTAAATGTCACGTCTTGAGGGCAAGGGCCGTGGCTGTTCCTGTCACGTCTCTTGCTGGGCCTCGCAGAGGTCCAGGCACCCAGGACTGCTCCAGACAGACTTCGATGCCCCCTTTGGGAGCCTATTCCCCCAGACTCCCTGTGGGCCCATTTCTCATCCAGTTCTCACAGCTGTACGAGGTTGGTACAATTATTACCTCCATTTTACAGATGAAGAAACTGAGGCACAGGGAAGTTTCTGTGACTTGCCCAAGGCCACACGGGGGGTGAAAGGCAGAACTGGGATATGAACTGGGCAGTCTGGCTCCAGAGTTTGTGCTCCTAACTGATACACTATAATGCCTCCCGTAGTTGTAAAAATAAGAGTAGGCACAATATCCTAATTAGAAAATAATAAGTAATAATAATGCAATATGTGCTGCGCTGTATTAACAAAATAAATAAAACAAGCACTCTTCTGAAAAGCAGTGGGAATGGCAGCAATAATGGTAATAATGATTACAATGAAGAAATATTACAGTAGTGTAATATAATAATACCAGCACCAATAACCCAGGTGCTGCTACAGGCGGTCTGTCCCAATGGTCTCATCCAACCTCAGCTGTATGAGCGAGGCACTGTCATCCATTAATTTTTGCTCCTGAGACATCGTGCTGTTAGCCGCGTGGCTTGTGGTGCCCCCGACACCCCCCACCCTGGCTGTGCCGAGGGCCGGGCCCTGGACCACTCACCTGAGGGCCTGGACGAGGTTGAGGTTGGCGAACTCATGGCAGTCCACAAAGGCCTGGAGGACCTGCAGGTTGATGGGGTCCCTGGGGAGGGGACACACGGGAGGGTGAGGTGCACTGGGGAACTTTCTGGTACCTACCTCCTGGAGGAGATTGAAATGGGGGGGGGGACAACAGAGGACAGATGTCCTCCTCTGCATCCAGCCACTGTCTGGCCTGCTCACATCTGTCTGACCCCACATCAGCACCCCACGTGCACACCATGCCCTCCCCCATAGGAACAGACCCCTCCCCCCACGGCTCACTGCTCTCACCCTGAACGGGAGTCGGCTTTGGAGGGGTGTTCCTTGAGTCAAATCCTTCCTGTGTCACTGCCTGCCTGGGTGACACCACTCAAGCCATGTGACCTCCCCAAGCCTTGACCTGTGCAATGGAGATAACTGTGCCTGCCCATGTCCCTCCCTCTTCCCAGCTCTCAGATCAGGAAGTGCTGCCCTTCTGCGTAGCCTGCACGCTCAGGAGAAGAAATGTGTCCTCTGGGGAACCTGGGAGAAGGGTTGCTGGCTTGCTGACCCAGCTCCACCCTGGTCCTTTACAGTCTAAGCCCCCAACCCAGCAGCCAGAGGGGTGCTCTGAGAGCACTCCTCTGCCCAGAACCCTCCCATGGATCCCCACCTTGTCACCTACTACTGCCTCCCTCCTTTCCTGCTCTCTTCCAGTCTCACCAGCCTCCTGCTCCTGGAGCATGTTTCTGCCCCAGGGCCTTTGCACATGCTGTTCCTTCTCCTCCCTTAAGTTTCAGTCAGTCGTCACCTCTCCATGGACCACTCCTGTCCACACCAAAGTCACAGCCCTTGACCTGTGGTCCCCAGAACTTCTCACCTCCCTTCTCTGCTTTATTTGTATTTTAAAGAACGTATAATTTTCTAACATGTTTTACATATTTGGCAATTTGTCTTCCCCAGTGGGATGTACCTCCCTGAGGGCAGGAGTTTTGTCTGTCTTGATCACTGGTATAAATCCAGGGCTTAGAACAGTGCCTGGCAGAGGGTAGATACTAACAAATATCGACTTGTTGAATAAATGAAGGAAGGCAGGAAGGAAGGCTGTGGTTCAGAATCTGGAGGGGAGTGACCGCCTCCTCGGGCTCCAGGAGTTATGACTTCCTAACACGATGCACTCCCTCACTCCCTTGCACACAACACATACACTAACCCGTGCACACTCTCATTCCCTGCCTCCCGAGGCCCCCCTTACCTCTCCCCCAAGTAGTTGCCGATGGCCGTCTTGTTGAGGCCCTCGCCCTTGTACAGGAACTGGGCGATGTCCTGGGCACTGGAGGTCAGCAGCTTGTGCTCAGTGAGATACTGGATGCCCTGGGAGTGGTACACAGCCATGAGCAGCCCCTCAGGCAGCCAGCCTGGGAGGGAGACGAGAGGGAGCCCCCGTGGCCAGAGCCCTGCGGCCTGGCATCTGGCACAGACTGCTCTGGGAAGTTGTGTCCCTCCTTAATAGAAGCTGCCTTTGTAAGGTGGTGAGTTCCCCATCACTGGAGGCATGCAAAGAGAGATGAGGTTTCTGCTGTGGACCAGGTTCACGCCAGGTGCTCCTCAGGGTTCCCTTCAGTCTGACACTATTTGATTATATGCTTCAGTGATTCCATTGACTTAAAAATTTAAGTTCAATGATTCAGCCATTCCTTTTGTCCCCTTAAAGTTCACATTATTTAAAAATAGTGTTTCGTTTTTTTCCTTGCAAGTAATCTATGTCCATTGTATAAAAATTAGAAAAAACAGTACAATCAGAAGAAGAAACTGCCCAGGCCCTAGCCCTCGGAGGTAGACCGTCCTCACGGCGGAGACTTGCCTTCCCTTTGGGGGGGGGGGGGGCTTGCCTCCCGCGTTGAAACCTGCGTTTCTGACCTGACAGTGTCACAAACCTCTCCCCACGGCCCAGGTGCTTGGAGTCTGGCATTCTAATGTGGGATTTGGGGGGTCGGCCCCTGGTTTTCTGTGACGATTCCTTCATGTCCCTGTTCCTTTTGGAGAAAGAGACTTCTGGAAGATGAGGGGCGGTTTGAAGGAGGCTCTGAATGACAGGCAGAGGGTCCCGGGGACCCCTCAGGTGCTTGGGCGGGGAGCGGGAGTTAGTGTGCGCGGGGGGCCCTGTGGATGGGAGCAGGGTCCTATCTCTACGCTGTGTGACAGACACTGTGGACCGTGACGGAAGCGGGGCAGCGCCTCAGCCAGAGCAGTACTTTTCCAGGGCCCGTGGCGCCTGGCCCCCCCCGTGTGTCTGCCCCCCTTCCTCCTGCATGTGTTCGCGCAGGAAGGTGGGGGCTGGGGTTGCTCTGAGGTCAGTGGGGCAGGGGAGGGTGCCGACACCCCACAGCTGGCTCTTCCAGGCCCAGTGACTGGAAGACACGTGTGGAGACTGAGCTCCAGAATCCACGGGTCCAATGTCCTCCTCACAGAGGAAGAAACTCCAAGTCCATGGGCACCGGAGACTCCGCCCCCACCTCCTGGCTCCCACCTTGTGCCCGGGGCTGCTGTGCCGCGGGTGACAGAGCCCCCAGCCACGACTGGACAAGGCGCTGAGCCCTGCTGGGCCTCAGTTTCCTCATCTGTAGGCTGGGTTATCATGTCAGTGGAGGGAAAGTGAAGGTGCCCGGCTGTAGCATCCCCAGTCCCATGACCCGAGCCCCCCACAACTGCCACCTTCATGGGGTCCATGTTGAACTTCTTGCGCCCAATGCACAGCTCCTTCTCCTTCTGGGCCAGCCGGCTGTGGACATGAAGATGTCAGTGTGAGCTGCCCCGGGCCCCAGGCCACCCCTTCCAACCTGCAAGGACCCTCAGACTCCTTGAGGACTCCCCTCAGCTAGAGCCAGTATTCTCTAGGGGGCTGCATGGGCCCCTGAGGCCGTGTGCGCATGCGAGATGCAGGGCCTGGGCCCACCCCAGGTTGCTCCTCAGGGGTCACTGGTCGAGGGGTGGGTCAGGGTGGGTTGGAAGAGACTGCGTGGAGAGGATGGGGGGATGGAGTGGTCTCTCAGGAGAGGGAGCTGCCTGGAAGCAGGGACCAGCCCAGCCCGTGCCTGCTCCCTCTGCTGCCTCCTCCGCCTCATCCCTGACTTCTCCAGGCCCCAGGCCAGGTGTGGCCCCTGCTCATTTATGAGGTGTGACGTCCTTAGGAAGACACCATGACAAATTCCCAGGGTCCCCTGGCCAGGCCCCTCACCTCTCTTCTGTCATCTCAAAACAGTCGATCTGGGCAAACACATCTTCAATCTCATCTTTCAGCTTCTGTGGGGTGGCAGGGAGGGGCAGGACAGGGAGGGAGAGTCAGGGGGCGGGAGCTGGGGTGGGCTCTCCCCCCTCCCCCACCACTCCCACACCCTCCCCCATCCTCCCCCACAACTCCCACCCCTGGGCGCAGCTCCCAAACTGCTCTTTCTTGACAGACCCCCTCCCCAGATGTCTCCTATCCTCAAAGTCCCAGACCAAACTACTGCTTCTGTCTGTACTCTTCCTACCATCTCCTGACTGGGGGGGGGCAGTCCCCAAGTCCCCACCCTATTTCCGGGCTTGCCACCCCTCCCCTCAGCAGTGTACAGTCTCCTGCCCTCTAGCCAAGCCCACTGGACCAGCCCTCCTGCCCCAGATGCCATCGTATTGAAGCACACTTGGGGCCTGCCCTGCCCCTGCTCAGACTCCTCCCATGGCTCCCACTGCACCACCCCCATCAGCCCTGTGAGGCTCCAGCTCCTCTCCAGCTTTCCTCCAGCTGTCTGTTTGCTCTGTCACTCGTCCCGACTTGGTGCCCACTGTGTGGGGTACTGTGGGTGCCTCAGGTACGAGGCCGCGCAGGCCCTCTTCCCGGGGACTTTGCAATCCCCGTGGGATTTGCAGAAGAGGACATTGAGGTGTAGAGAGGTGGTGACATGTCTAAGGTCTGACTCTAAGCCTCTGGTTTCCTGGACTCCCCACAAGCCTGTTCCTTCTCGAACTTGCAGGGAGTGCCCAGTGGCAGAGGAGAGCCCCTGCCTCTGCCAACTGCCACCATTGGGCAGACAGGGCATCCTTTGTCCAGCTTTCCCCTGCAGGGCAGCTGCATGAGCCCCCCGAAGGCACCCAGCCCTCCCCTGCTCTCCCTGAGATCTGTGGGATAGAGGTGGTCCCAGGGGCTTGTCCTGGGACCCAGGAAGTACATGGGGCCTGAAGCCTATGTCTGTGCCCAGTTAGCTCCTGTCCATGTGACCTCAGCTGAATCACTGAGTGGCTTCCCCACAAATGCAATGGGGGCTCACTGGCAAGTATTAATTGAGCACCTACCATGCTCTGACTATTGGGCTGCAAGTTCAGTGGTGGGTACGACAGACCCAGGCTCCATGCACAGAGCTCACGGTCCAGTGGGGTTGGGATCACGATGGTCATGGGGAAATGAAATGACCATGCAGAAAACCATCACAGTAATGACACAGGAAAAACTTGGCTCATGGTAGATGCTCAATAAAATACTCGCTGAGCGAATGCTTCTGTACCTTCATTCTTCCCTGCAATACTGGATGGACATGTGTCAGGGTGGGGTGAGATCCCAGCAGCCGTGGCCAGGATGGTCAGGGCCACCTCTCAGAGGGGACGGCATGTGAGCTGAGAGTGAAATAATGAGGAGGAGCCATGACAGGAGTTTGGGAGAGTCCCAGGCAGAGGGAACCGTGAGTGCAAAGGCCCGGGGGCAGGACTGAACCCAGCATATTCCAGAAACAGAGTCAGGGCCTGTCTCAGAAGGCTGTTGAGAATCAGATGTGCTAATGTCTTAAAAACTAATGAACTGACAAGTGCTAGCCACGTACTGGTATTATGTTGACCAAATGATCCCCATTTTAGGGGGGGTGAAGCTGGGGCTCCTCATAAAGATGAGAGCAGATTGAGGCCACCCCAGTGGGAGTAGAACCCCCTCCCCCAGGGAGGAGGTGTCTAGAGCCGCAGGTGGGCTCCACACAGCAGGGAGTGAGGGTGTCAGTGCGGATGTGCGTGGACTCACATGGCCGTGGGCACGAGTGTGTGAATGTGCACGCACCTGGATGTCCTCCAGAAGCTTCTTCCGGTGCCATTTGATCCGCTGCAGCTCCTCAGTTTCCCCACTGCTCAGCTCTGCTGGGCCTGGAGAGAGAGGAACCCGCGGTCACTGGCTCACCCACTGCCCTCCCTCCCGTCTCTCAGCTCCTGCACACTGGCCCCTCAGCGCCCTTTTCTCCAGACACCCATGATTGCTAGGCCTTTTCATGCAAGCCTGGGCTCAGATGTCACCACCTCCAAGAGGCCTTCCCTGACCACCCTGTCTCAGTCAGCCCCTTCCCCACCTTCCCCTCCTACCCAGCTTTCTGCTTCTTCTACTCTCCCGGTACAGATGCCCTGAAATTACCCCGCGAACTCGCATCTTTCCTATGCACTCAGTACATTCTCCGCTCCAGGAAAGCAAGCACTTCAACTGTTTTGTTCACTGCTGCGTCCTCAGCAGCTAGAAAGAGCCTGACGCACGGCAGGTGCTCAATAAAATACCTGCTGAAGGCATTCATTCTTCCCTGCAACTTTAGTTTTTTCTTTTATTGGATCATTTATCTCTTTCATTTATTTGCATATTTATTTGCACAACCAAGAAGTGGTGTATAATTTGCCTCACATTCCATTGGCCAGATGTCATATTGCCACATCTAGCTGCAAGGGAGTCTGGGAAATGAGCCTGTAGTAGGGTGGGCCTGATATCCTTACTATGGGAGATGGGGAGAATGGGTTTTGGGGGATATCTGACCGTTTCTGCCCCAGACACTGAGGCTCAGAGAGGCGAGGTGACCTGGCTGAGTTCCTGCAGGGACCAGTTGCTGACAGGGTTGACCTTGGATTGGGCTGACTAAAAAGCTCTTTCCACTCCACCTGGAGTTGAATTAAAGGAGATAAGTGTGTGTTGGTCAGAATTCTGTGCAAGGTGCCGTAAAGAGTCTCACACCTGGGTCAGCTGGCTTACCTCCACCCCCCATTGTCCTTCTTGATCCATCCACAACACTCTCCCGGTCAAAATCCCCATGGACTCCCCATCACTTGAAGGAAAAGTCCTCCTGCTGGTCCTCCACACTCTCGCGGCCTCTCCAGCCAGGCTTCCCCCCACCGTTCTCCACAAGAGCTGCCCGTCCAGCCTGTCAGCTCCTCACTGCCCCCGTATTGTCTAACTCTCGGTCTGACTCCCCACTTTGCCCGTGAGGTTCCTCCACCTGCGTGCCCTCTCCTGTCTGCCTGTCCAAATCCACCCTGACTCTCAAGTCCCAGCTTTGGGAAGTGCCGGTCATGTTTCTTAAAGGCTTTACAAGGACAGATCTCAAACCATTTTCCCACTTCTCACCCTGGTGACTGAGCAGCTGTCTCGGACTTGGAGATGGAAGTGGGTATTGAGATGGCAGGACAGTAAGCTAGAAGGAGCCTGGGCCCTGGGCGACTGTGTGGAGAAAAGTCATATTTGCCTCACCAGCAGCTACCCACTTGGACTTCTCAATGAGAGAGAAACACACCTTGAGAATGTCTCTGTCACTGTTATTCCGAGTCTCTGGTACAGCCGTCAAACCTGAAACTTAACCTTATCCGGGACTCATGAACCCAGATCCTTACCTAGAGTGTGGTCGTCAGGACTAAAAGAGCTGAATCGTGTTAAACACCCAGCAAGTATCTGACTAGGGTAATGTCCAACATGTGTGTCACGATGCCGTGCTGTGCCGTACAGATCCTTCGGGCCACCGTGCCTGCTGTCCGCTGCCGGGGCTGGGGGAGAGCCTGCTGACTGTTCGCAGCCGGGTCCCTCCCCGGGAAAGTACCTCAGCCGGATGGAGCTGCCTCACCTATGCATGTGTCCCTCCCAAATGGCAGCCACAGCTCAAAAAGTCCAGACCCCTTGCCTCATTTCTGGACCTGAATCCAGACTGGTCCTATTGACTGAAGAAGAGGCTGTGTCCCCAGAGGGAAGGGTCGGGCAATGCCTGACAAGTGTGGTGTATGGTAATGATTCCTTTGGCCAAGAAGTCAAGATGGATCTGTCTGACCCTTCAAGTCATAAAGTCAAGTGAGCCCAGTGGCAGTTCTTTGTAAGGGGTTCACCTAGGAGTGAGTGTGAGCAGAACCGGAAGACTCCAGTAAGCTCCGTGGGCAGGTGGATCCCCATGTCATCCAGTGCTGCTGCACCAAGGCTTGTCCCTCGGCTCCCACCATGTCTGCGGGGGGGAGGGGGGGTCCTTTGAGCTTGGTTCCAGGAGGGATGGCTCAGTGTTTGGGTACAAGCGAAAATCAGACAGCGACGGGACTATAGCCCTGCTCAAAGGTGTTCTGGAAAGAAAGCGGTAAGAAGTCCTGCCAATAGGCTGAGCGTTGGGCAGGGCACCTGGCCATCCATTTCGTGTGGAAAGAGAAGCTTTGGGAGGTAGGCATAGACATGCATTCATGGGCAGTAGAGGGTAGCCTGACTTCTTGGTCAGAGGCTATGAAGAAGAAAGATGAGAAGACGGAGGACAGAGAGAGATGGGCAGAGGCAAGTGGATGGCCCTATGGGAGTGGGCACAAATGGGGAGATTTTTGCAAAGCACACTTATGTTCCCCTGCAAACATCCTCACAGGAGAGGCACTAAACCACCGAGCAGACACAACGACTCGGCCAGTTGACATCAGCCAGTCTCTGGCTGACCAACCCAGTGCTGGTGCAACAGCACAGAAATGAAGCAGCCATGTGGCCTGCGCGGAGGCCATGGGTAGACCCACCCACCCAGGCCTGCCGAGCTGCTGCCACTGCTGAACAGCCGATTTGCCAGCAACAGAGACCCCGTGTTTCTTGAGAAAACCAACCAGCAACCTGGCAGCAAATTGATGACACTGGACCCCTTCTCGTCTGCAGAGGCTAGCAACTTATCTTGCCCGGAATCCACACCTGTTCTGCATATGCGGTGGTCTCCCTGCCCACAGAGCCTTGGCCAGCATCAGTACCCACGGGCTTCCCGGGGGTTTGATCCTCTGACACAGAACACTGCGTGACATTACATTACACCGAGGGGCCCTCTGCCCAGTAAAGGTGGTGTGGACGGAGCATGTGGCCCTGGGTCCTGCTGGTCCTCTCAACATGTCACTACCAGAAGATGCTGGCCTGCTTGAGCAAGGGAGCAGCCTCTTGGAGGTGCTCTGAGGTGTCAGCATGGAGATAACCCTGCTTGGCGGGGCACTGTCCTCTGCACTTTAAATCGATGACCATTAGATGGTGCTTTGTCCCCAGCAGGTAATCTACACAGATCCATGAACAAGCAGGAGGAGGAGCTACAGGACCATCTCTCAGTGACTCACTTGGGAGTTTTCCTTTCTGTTTCTGTAACTCTGAGCTCTGTGGGTTTAGACTTCTTGGTTTCCAGGGGGCGGGGGAGGTGGCCCTTATATCAGGGGACAAAACAAGAGTTACATTAAACTTTAAGCTCGAACACACCCACTCCAGGCTGGCAGCTTCATAAAAGTGTATCATTTAATCCTGACAACTCTGCCCTGGCCGGCTTGGCTCAGTGGTTAGAGCGTCAGCCTGCGGTCCAGAGAGACCCAGGTTTGGTTCCCGCTAAGGGTGTGTACCTCGGTTGCAGTTTGTCTCCGGCCCTGGTTGGTCGTGCGGGTGGCAGCCACGCGATGTGTCCCTTTCAAGTCAATGTCTCTTTCTCTCTTCCTCCCTCTCTCCCTCCCACTCTACCTGAACAAAAAATGGAAAAATGTCCTCGGGTGAGGATTAAAAAAAATAATAATAAAAATATAAAAATAAAAAATAATCCTGACAACTCTGTGACGTGGGTTTTTTTTTAGTTTAAGACACTGAGGCTCAGAGAGGTGAAGTGACTGGCCCTGAATCACACAGCCAAGGGCTGGCAGTGCTGGGAAGGGAGCCTGCTTTGCGGATACCCGAGCCGGTAAGCAGGGCTCTGCAGCCCTGGGCACGTGCGGGGCTAGGAGTCGCCAGGGGCCCCCCACCTGGAGGCAGGAGCGGGGACTTGGCTGGGAGGCAGCTCTCCAGGCTGGGACCCCTCTGTCCGGAGCAGGAGGGAGGCTGAAATCTGTCGTGGAAAAACCCAGTCACCTCTAGTTGACTTTGGGGTGAAACAGCAGACTTTTTGCTTTGTTTGTTTACTTCCTGTTGGCCGGGGCTTGTGTTTTGAGGCAGGTCTCTGGCCGGGGCGCACCTGCTGGCGGAGCTGTGTGTTGGCGAGAGGCCGGGCTGGGTTTCAGCGTGTCTACGGCTAATCCCCATGTGGACGGTCAAGGGGTGAGCCCTGGCTCCCGGGGCTCGGGCTCGCTGACGTCTCCTCTCGCATCGGCTCTCCTCCCTCCCTTCACCCTGTCTGGGGCCAAGGAGACACATGGACACACTCAGCTCCAACCCCTCCCTGAGGGTCAGGCCCTGCTGTGCCCCTGGGCACTGGCCATCATCTTGTTTGTCATTTGACCGACACAGAAGTCCTAGAATTTCCCCTCGATTCTTCCTGAGTTCTCGGGCCCTGGGACGGGCCCTGAGACACCGGCCAGAACCCCAGGAGGCACCTGGGCTCTCAGCTCTCAGCCCCATGTCTCCTCCTCCCCAAGCCCATCTGACCCCTCCTGTTTGCAGGCCCCCACCCCCGCCCTGGCCACTGGCTCCTGCCTCTGGATGGCGCCGGGCCTCCCCACGGCTCCCTCTACTCCGCCCTTCCAATCCAGTCTCCCCTGGCGTCCCGTGGTCCAGGGGATAGACTCCAAGTTTGCCCGGGCCCAGCAATCCTGCTGTGCACCCTGGTCCTCATCGCACACTGAGCCCCTCTGCCCTAGACTCGAGGCCTCACTGCCGCCCGTCGTGGGCTCTCAGGTGCTCTTTCCATCCCCGGCCTTGCATATGCTGTTCCCCATGTGGATGACCTTCCTTCTCCTCTGCCCAGCAACTGCTGCTCTTCCTCTCCGTCTCCTCTCGGGGGCCTCCTGTGCTCCTTCTGCGCACTGTCCTCTCCCTCACGCTCCAGCCACTCCCTGCAGCCGGCCTGGGACCGCTGGCTCAATAAACAGCCAAGCTGTTGGCTGAGGAAAGGCGTGCTAACTGAGCACCTACTACGTGCCAGGCCCTGTGCGCTCTAAGCTCTTCCCATCCACTATCTCATTCAATCCAGACGGCAGCTCCAGAAGAAGGAAGGTATTCCTTTTTTTTTTTAAACACTGCCTTATAATTTTTTTCCTTTATTAATTTTAGAGAGAGAGAAAGTGAGAGGGAGAGAGAGAGAAACATCGATGAGAAAGAACATTGATTGACTGCCGCCTGCATGCTCCCCACTGGGGATCAGGCCCACAACCTGGGCATGTGTCCTGACTGGGAATCGAACTGTAGACCTCTTGGTGCAGGGTCAACACTCAGCCACTGAACCACACCGGCCAGACTGGAGGAAGCTATTTCTAATCGCATTCTGCGGATGAGACACTCGAGGCTTAGAGGGGTTAAGTGACCTGCTCAAGGTGACGCAGCTGGAAGGCGGTGAAGCCGAGACGCACACCCAGGTCCTTCTGGGGCTCTGAGCCTCCGTGCTGACGTTAGTCACCTGACGCCAGACCTCGATATGCCAACCATCAGAACCCCATCAGAGCTGACCCCGGATATTCTCACTCGGGAACACCGACCACGGCTGCTTGTTTGAGAATGAAGACGGGACGCAGAATGTTGCCTACAGTCCGAGCCCCTTTCCCTTTTTGGGTAAGAAATTAAACAAAGCCAACACCATAGAGCTGGGGACACTGAGGCACAGGTGTGGGTGGAAGCAGTTTTCCCCGGAGCGTGGGCCGGCCTGGGGGGCTGTTTGCATTTCCCCTCACACAGCTCTTTCGTGGTTTGACAGGTAGGTTCTTGGGTCCTCCTGGTCCACTGTCCCCGCTGTCAGTCCCTGACCCCATTGGGTGGCTACTGGCTAAGTGCACTCGGACCTGCGGGACAGGGCTGACGGCTCCTAGGCGGCTGCACCATCACGTGGTGCACAGGCACCTTCTGACCCTTCACCTCTTTGTTAAAAAGTGGGGGTTTCTTCCCATTTCAGGGTTGAGGACAGGGTTCAGGGAGTATGAGAAGGACATAGCCTGAGAGTGTTTACTGCTGATTCTAAGGCAGCACCGGTGTGGCTCACAGCAGGTAGGTTTTTAGTAATAATAATAATAATAACAGTAATAAAATAAAATAAATTAACTACGTTATAAGAACAACCGTCACCCCCACAAGCTCTGTTTACTCCCCAGCTCAGTACTTTTCACACCTCCCGGAGGCTCCCCTTAGACTCCGACCACACCCACGCCCGGGCTGGGCTGCCCTCTGCCACCCTGCCAGGCCAGCCGTGTGTGGCCGGTGCCCGCCCCACCATCTCCCCCACTCCTGTCCACTTCCCCTTTGTCCTTCCTCTTTCCCAGCGTATTTTTAGAAGTCATTCTGCCTGCAGCCCTGCTTCCAGGACAGCTGGCCTGGCTTCCCCTTTTCCAGGGCAGAGGGAGGTGCTCTCCTGGTGCTCAGGGCATAGCGCCCCAGAGTCTGGTGGGGGGCCACTGGGCCGGAGGGCGTCTGGGGGAGCCGCTCCCATCCCAGCCTGCCCTGCGGTGCACCGCGCACCGTGTGGCTTCCTACCCCCAGCTGAGCTGCCTCTACTCTATTTTTAACTGCACCGGCCTCCTGTCACCAACCTGCTACTGCTACTGTCATTGGTCATGTTGGGGCTTTGTTGCCTGGTCCTGTCACCTTCCTGGTGGGCCCTGGGGGAGGGGCCTGACCTGCTTCTGGATGCAACACACACAGCTAGAGGAGGAAAGGCAGCCCTGGGGGGAACTTTACCACTGTCCTGCCCATTGTACAGATGGGACACTGAGGCCCATCATGACCACTGGCAGGTTGGTACAGAGCTGGGAACCAAGCCAGGTTTGGCTGACTCCCCGTTTAGTTTAGGTCAGACAGACATCATGGTGCCCACTTTAGGGGACAAATCTGAGCTCAGAGGGGTAACCATCTGGCCATGGAGGTGCTTTGGGTAAGACCCAGTCTGGGTAACAGAGGAATGATCTTCCCTTTCTCCTTCTGCTTCCTCCAGGAAGCCTTCCCAGATCTCCCCTGCTCATGTGGAAAGAGTGGCTTCCTCCCATGCTCCAGGCCTGAGCCCATGTGCACATCTGTCCTGGGTCGTTGCCCTGCAGATATAGCCCCCCCCTGACATTCCAGATCAGAGCTCCCCAGGGCTGGGCCCATGCCTGGTCACTGCTGTCCCAGCATCGCCCAGCACAGGGCCTGCACACCAGGAGACTGTTTCTAGAATGAATGCGTGAATAGAAGAGCTGATCAATGGGGACCTCAAATCTCTGGCAGACTGCTTCTGTCGACCCCACTGATGCCATTTCTTGCCCGGCCAGCCTGCCCCCCCCCCACACACAACCGGGCTCTCTGCTCTCAGGGGCTCTCCCTCTGCTGCCGTTCACCGGCTGCCCTGCACAGGTCAGGGCTCTCTCAGTGCATTCCGGTGAGCCTCAGTTTCCTCACTTGCATCATGGGACAACCATCTCTGTTCCTAAGGACCTCCACAGGTGAAGACCACAAAGACCGAAGTGACAATGATGGAAAGACGGGCACGTTGGGGGGTCACTGACTCGTCTTCCCCTCGCATCTGCCGAGTGGCCCTGAGCCAGGCGCTGCCCCTCGCTGGGCGTCCTGTTGCCTATGCTGTGGTCACTGAGCCCTGCCAGGGGCCAGGGGCCAGGGGTCAGGGCGAGAGCCCTGGATGGGGAGTCAGGAGGTGAGGAGTTCCTGCAGGACTGTCTCCCTCTCTGGGCCTCCTTTGTCCCTCCTGCAATTGGGGGTGTTGAAATGGACCTGTAGTTCCCTAACTGTGGGGTGGGGGGCCCCCAGGGGCCAGAGGCAGACTGCTCCATGTTCAGTTTTGTTTGAAGAAAGGGTTCTGTCGCTAACAGATTGGCGTCGTCTGGCCCCGGGGAACTGGACAGCTCCTGGCAGCCCTGGTCTCCGGGACCTGCCGGCAGCGCTGGAGCGTTGAGACGCAGGGCACAGAGCTGGGCCCTGTCCTCTGTCCCACAGAAACACGGCGCCGCTCCTCTCCTGTTCCCAGGGCCCCTCTCCCTTCCTCTTTCCCGGACACATGGTCCTGCCGCCGGGGCGGGTCTCAGCTGCTTGCTCTGGTCCCTCTGCAGGTTCTAGGCAGTGTCCTCCGCCTCCCCAAAGGTCAAGCAGGTGCTTCAGGGACTTTGTACCACCCAGACAGGCACCACAGTGACCAACATCGTCACCTTCAACACAAGCAACCTTCCTCAGCCCAGCTCCGGGCCTTGCACTGTCCGTCCTCCTGCGGGCTCTGCTCGGAGCCGTCTCCCCGACCCTCTCCATTCCCCTCACCCGACTCCACTGTTGTCCATTCTGCTCGCTCCCCTGCCACGGTGTATACAGACATGAAATGTCTGTCCCTCCTCTGGAATGTGGGCCCCGAGGGCCGGGCAGGGCCTGCTCTGCTCACCCTCCCAGCGCCCGGGCACAGCTGGCAGCCGGCCTGCACCCACACATGCTCGCCGCCCGCTTCTGCATCCCCACCTGTCAGGTCTGCTCACACCCGGATTCCAGCCGGGTCCGGGACGCGGGCACTGTCATCCCATTCTACAGAACAGGAAACCGAGGCCCCGAGAGCCGGCCCCAGGCCTTACCTGGGTGGCACAAGTCCATTCCGAAGCCTCCAGGGAAGGTGGTCGGTGCTGGCCTGAACCGCCGGCCCAGCGGCTGCTCAGTCTGATGTGTCACCTCGGCTGCGACAGGCCCCTTCCCGCTCACCCCGCCCAGCCCGTGTGGGGAGGAAGTCCTGTCCTGCGGGGTCTGTGCGTAGGCTCTTGACGTAGCAGCAGCACTTCCTAAAAAAACGGAGTTTCAAGTGGCAGGCGCTCTTTAAGTTTTGGGTGTGAACAAGGGAGGGATAGAGGCCGAGAGAGAGGCAGGGGTGGGGATGGAAAGAGAAAGACAGACGCGCGCGCACACAGAGGAAGATAGTCACAGGAAGGCAGAACCTTTTCCAGGGCACACTAGACATGTACTCAGCAACCTCCTCACATACGAAATGAAGAATCACTCAAGTTAGAGTCTAAGCCGAGTCCCAGATCCCACCCTACAAGCTCTTCATCAATTCTCCCTTGAGAAAATAAAAATTAATTCAGTGTTAGGAAGGGCTTTGCTTCCCTTAATGAAATGTCTGGCTTTTCCTGTCTAGTGGCCGATTGGGCAATATGTTCTATTTCCCTTCTCCCTTATGACGCTAGGAAACTCACAGTCGAATCTGAAGCGCCTTTGCAGCT